GGTCTACTATTCTGGGAATGACAAGTTGAAGAGGAATGACTTGAAATTCGTTGTCAAAAAGAGTATTTCAAGATCTGTCCTGAAGTGCAGTGTTGTCAGTGATAGGATAATAGCTATACTCCTACATGGAAAACCAGCTAATACCACTATCGTTCAAATTTATGCACAAACCACTAATGCCAAAGGTGAAGAAATTGAAGATTTTTGCCAACTTCTGCAGTCAGAAATTGATCAAACATGAAATCAAGATGCATTGATAATGACTGGTGATTGGAATTCAAAAGTTGGAGACAGAAGAAGGATCAGCGGTTGGAAAATATGGTCTTGATGATAGAAACGACACTGAGATGGAGTGATAGAATTTTGCAAGACCAACAACTTATTCATTACAAATACCTTTTTTCAACAACATAAACAGCAACTCGCTTGATGAGATACACAGGAATCAAATCAATTACATCTGTGGAATGAGATAATGGAAAAGCTCAATATTATCAGTAAGAACAAATCCAGAGGCACACAGTGGAACAGACCATCAATTGCGCCTATGAAAGTTGAAGATGAAGCTGAAGAAAATTAAAACAAGTCCATGAGAGCCAAAATACAACCTCAAGTAAATATCCCACCTGAATTTAGAGATCATCTCGAGAATAGATTTGAACACTAATTGTGTTCAGCACATTGAACACTGATGACTGAATACCAGATGAGTTGTGGGATGACATCAGGGACATCATACATGAAGAAAACAAAAGGTCATTAAAAAGATAGGACAGAAAGAAAAGATCAAAATGAATGTCAGAAGAAACTCTGAAACTTACTGTTGAATGTAGAGTAGTTAAAGCGAACAGAAGAGAAGATGAAGTATAAGAGCTGAACAGAATATTTCAAAGGGCAACTTGAGAAGAAAAAGTAAAGTATTATAATAAAATGTGCAAAGACCTGGAGTTAGAAAGCTAAAAGGGAAGAACATGTTCAGCATTTCTCAAGCTGAAAGAACTGAAGAAAAAATTCAAGCCTCGAGCTGCAATGTTGAAAGATTGTATGAGCAAAATACTGAACGATGCAGGAAGCATCAAAAGAAGATGGAAGGAATACACAGAATCACTGTACCCAAGGGGGAAAAAAATTGGTTGACGTTCAACTATTTCGAGACGTAGCGTATGATCAAGAACCGATGGTATTGAAGGAAGAAGTCCAAGCTACATTGAAGGCATTGGTGAAAAACAAGGCTCCAGTAATTGATGGAATACCAGTCGAGATATTTCAAAAAACGGCTGCAGTGCTGGAGGTGCTCACTCACCCAAGCAAAGAAATTTAGAAGACAGCTACTTGGCCAGCCGATGGAAGAGATCCATATTTGTACCCATTCCAAAGAAAGGTGATCCAATAGAATGCAGAAATTACCAAACAATATCATTAATATCACACACAAGTAAAACTTTGCTAAAGATAATTCAAAGCATTTGCAGTAGTACATCAATAAGGAAGTGCCAGAAATTCATGCTGGATTCAGAAGAGGACATGGAATGAGGGATATCATTGCTGATGTCAGATGGATTTTGGCTGAAAGATGGGAATACCAGAAAGATGGTTACCTATGTTTTATTGTCTATGCAAAGGCACTCGACTGTGTGGACAAATTATGGATGGCATTGTGAAGAATGGGAATTCCAGAACTCTTAATTGTGCTCACAAGGAACCTGTACATAGACCAAGAGGCAGTCATTTGAACAGAAAAAGGGGATATTGTGTGGTTTAAAATCAGGAAAGGTGTGTGCCAGAGTTGTATCTTTTCACCATACTTATTCAATCTCTATGCTGAGCAAATAGTCCGAGAAGCTGGTCCATATGAAGAAGAATAATGCTTCAGGATTGGAGGAAGACTCATTAACAACCTGCGTTATGCAGATGACACGACCTTGCTGAAAGTAAAGATAACTTGAAGCACTTACTGATGAAGATCAAAGACTACAGCCTTCAGTATGGATACACCTCAACATCAAGAAAACAAAAATCCTCACAACTGGACCAATAAGCAACATCATGATAAACAGAGAAAAGATCGAAGTTTTCAAGGATTTCAGTTTACTTGGATCCACAATCAACGCCCATGGAAGCAGCCGTCAAGAAATCAAATGATGCATTGCACTGGGCAAATCTGTTGCAAAAGACCTCGTTAAAGTGCTAAAAAGCAAAAATGTCACCTTGAAGACTAAGGTGCACTTGACCCAAGCCATGGTATTTTCAATTGCTTCATATGCTTGTCAAAGCAGGACAATGAATATGGAAGACCGAAGAATTGATGCCTTTGAATTATGGTGTTGGCAAAGAATATTGAATATACCACGGTCTGCCAGAAGAACAAACAAGTCTGTCTCGGAAGAAGTACAGCCAGAATGCTCCTTAGAAGTGAAGACTTCATCTCAAGTACTTTGGACATGTTATCAGGAAGGACCAGTCCCTGCAAAAGGACATCATACTTGGTAGAGGATCATCGAAAAAGAGGAACACCCTTAACGAGATGGATTGACACAGTGGCTGCAACAAGAGGCTTAAACATAGCAACAATTGTGAGGATGGCTCAGGACTGGGCAATGTTTTGTTCTGTTGAGCATAGGGTCGCTGAGTCAGAATCAAGTAAATGACACCTGACAATAGTCTCTGGCTGCAGTTCCACATATTAGCCAGCAGATGGTAGCCACAAATATTGCATGCAGTTCCCCCCAAAGTGATATGTTTTCTTCATATTTCAGGTTAATATAAAATCGGCAATCCTTGTCTCTAGAGGTAGAATATGGGAGGTGGTGGGTGTAGTTCTTTAGTAACTTGTGGGAATATTTTTGGGTGTTGTAATTTGATGCTTTAAGCTAGGGAGCATCCGCTGCGTTTGGTTGGAAAAATAACTATTCAGTTAGAATTAACATTGAAGATCAGTATTACATGCCAAATGCCGTGCTAAGTGATTCACATGCATTAGCATATTTAATCATCACAAAAAACCTAAGAGGATATACTATTTTATCAGTCCCAGTTTCTATGTTTAAAAAAAACCCTACACTTTATATAATTTCAATAACTTGTAGAGCCTGGAATCCAAGAAACATTTATTCTTACTCACTGTTACATAAGCTCCCTCACAGACCATTCCCAGACTTACATTTGTGGGGAGTTTCAACCATAATGGTGTGCTTGGTTGAGCACAATCTGCTGTGTTGTGGGGACAAAGTTGGCTTCATGCAGAGAATCTTTGGGAAAGAACAAAAGTGGAAAGAAAAAGGGAAAGACATCCTAGAAGTGACTATTTCTATATCATAGCTTCAAAATCGTATTTACTACACAAGAGGAAAATGTGATATGATAATTAGGTACTTATGGGTATTTTGTAAGTTTGTATGGTAGATTTCATTAATTTTTCCCCCTAATGTGACTTATCATAATTGCTTATTTACTTAAATTTTCTCAGCACAGTCTCCATGTAAATATATGGGGAAAGTGTGTTTATAGTAGCAAAATACTGTTTAGCTGCAACTAAAATCGATCACAGCCCTTTAAGGCTTTGGTTATGATCAGCATTGACTGGAAGATAAATGTTAGTAAGTTTGTGAGGAACAAATCAAGATATTTTTAGTTAAATTCAGCAAATATTTTTGAGTGTTTACTATGTTGCCAAGCATTGTGCTAGGCCCAGGAGTTAAATAGTACTTAAGTCTCAATTCCTACCCTCAAAGAATTCTCCTACCTAGCTTGGAAAACAGACACATAAATCAATGGCCATAAGGCAACATGATAAACCCTGCCATAAAAGCATGTGTAAAGTACTCAGCTGACAGTGCAAGGACAGCTGTCTGGGTCTCCCAATAGGCAGTGCCTTGTCCTACTGATCAATATTTAAGATTTACTCGGTCCTTTTAGAGTTCAGACTTATGATGAGATGGTAGATAGCTCAGAAGGTTAGTGTAGAAACCAGCATGAAGCAGTGACATCATACGCTGGAGGAGTACACAGAATTCTGACCAGAGCTACTCACTAGAATGTGGAAGTTAGAAGGAAACGGTACGATGCTGCTGCACATCTTGTTGTTGCCGTTAGCTGCTGCGAAGTCAGCCCCAACTCATGGCAACCCCACCCACAACAGAACGAAATGCTGCCGGGTCTTGCGCCATCTCTGATTGTTGAGGATCAGAAAGTTGTAATCCATAGGGTTTTCGTTAGCTGATTTTCAGAAGTAGACCACTAGGCCTTTCTTGCTAGTCTGTCTTAATCTGGAAGCTCCCTTAAAACCTGTTCAGCATTATAGCAACATACAAGCCTCCACTGACAGAGGGGTGATGGCTGTGCATGAGATGCATTGGCCAGAATCAAACCCAGGTCTCTGGCATGGAAGGCGAGAATTCTACCACTGAAGCATCATTGTCCTCAACATGCATTTTACTGCATGTAAAATACCCCAATAGTCATTTTGGAACAATGGAAAAAGGGATTGGAATAGAGAGTCAAATCTACCCATGAGATAAATGAAGAATAGAGAGAAATAAATTATCAACCAGAGTAATTTAATTGTCTAGCTGGAAATGGTTGAAGAAAATATCTACATTAACTCTCATTTTACAGATGAGGAAACTGAGATCTGGCAGAGAACAATTATTATTATTTTTTTCAAATGTCGTACATCTAATTAGTGGCAGAGCTGGGATCAGAACCCTCAGAAGATCAATAGGCAATGCAGTGAGTAGCTCTGCCTTCAATAATTACATTCAATAATTAAGATTAAAATGAGATACTGCATCTTAACCTGGAACTTAATAAGCTTGATAAATGTTAACTATTAGACTTCATGTGTCCTAATTTCTTCATTAGTATTCTTTCTGCCACAACACAGCCGGTGAAATGGGGTTTTGTTTATTTTTGTTTCCCTGACGCTGAAAGAAATCTCTTTTTTAGATTTGTACACTCATGCTCATGTGGTGTCCCTTCTCCCCTTTTATCTCTTCTTTCAGGGCCAAGGAGATTAAGATCAAGTTGGGAATTCTCCTCCAGAAGCCAGACTCGGCTGTTGACCTTGTCATTCCATATAATGAGAAGCCGGAGAAACCAGCCAAGACCCAGAAGTGAGTCATAAATATGGATTCCACTCATTTTCCTTAAGAGGATGGCTTTTTTTTTTTTTTTTTTTTTTTCAGGTCTATAGCACCATTCCTCATCTGTAGAACTCCCTTCTTCAGTTACTCATTGAGGATCATAAGGACCCTCAGTGAGTGGTTGTTTTAAATAAGCATTTTTTGAACACTCCATGTTTGGAGCATAATATTGAATACTGACTGGCAGGTTATGTAAACAATAAAAGATAAGGCTCTACGCTGAGACCTAATTGGAGAGACAGCACCTTATAAATGGCATCAGCAGCTCACCAGCTCTTAGGTAACCTGCTCATTTTCTGCCCTTGGTTCAGGTAACCATCCCTGATCCAATTAACTATGATCATTGGATACCTTCTTGCTAAGGGACTATGCAAGGCTATTTCCTCAGCAGGGAGATCCAGGGGGAACAATTCCCTCAGGAAGATGCTGAAGATACCACAGGCACTTTAAGCCTAATAATTTCTTCCCATGATATTGATCCTCCAAGGACCAGCAGAGGATAGGAGGGCTACTACTTGACATAGGAATGAATAGTTGACTATCTTTCTTTTTAATGGACATCAAGCATTTCCTCCCCAACAGTTAACTTAATATTCCTGAGTGATTGGACTTCTGCAGTCTCCCCTCCTTACCCCCCAACATACACACTTCCTCCCATCAACTTAGGCATGGTGGAAAACTATAACGCTGAAGAATCAAGATGTCATCACAGTTAGATTCAGCTTTCACAATTTGCACTGGCCCTACTTTAAACTTAATAACACTGCTCACAGGATTCCCAATGTTTCCTGTGGTTCCACTAGCTCCGTAGCGTATCACTGCCTGAAGAAATACTCCCCATCTTCCCTTTAAAACAGATACTCATGAAAATCAAGAAAAGGGAGTGGAAGAAGAAAAGCCAGATGTATCAAACTCTACCCTACTACCTAAAAGCTTTGAGGAGATCACAGAATCATGGTAAAAGGACAGGAATTCCTTTTAACCTCCATCTCTCTTTTTCCATTTAACATTTGTCTAAAGTGGCCAACCCTTCCTTTGTCCAAATGACCAACTGAATATAGATTGGATTGGTTGGGAGATACAGGGATGCATTATTATTTTTTTAATCTTCTTCCATCAACCTAAGTGGATATTTCCACTCTCCTGTTTTTATTACTTCAAAGTGATCCCAAACCAGAAGTGAGGCATAATTGTGTTTTCTGCACTTAAAAAGGGGAAGCTAATTCAATGTGGAGCTGCAGACACCAGGCACTAGTGGAGAATAACAATCACGTTTCATAGCAGTAACAGATCAAAAGTCTATTTCGAAGTAAACAATGTGGTAGTTATTGATCTGTTGGAATTAACTTAAAAAAAATAAGCATAGTACTACATTTCCTGCTTTGCATCTCTGCTTCTAATATCCCACACAGACTCTTGAATTATTTGGCTTCACAGGGATTCAGAGAGTTTTGGAAGAAAACCTAGGGCTAACATTTATTGAATTATTTACTTCTCATTTCTCCCATCCTCTTTCTTCTTCCAGAAGGTTGCACTGTTTTGGAAAATCCTTCATATCCCTGGAGAATACTTGTGTGCCTCTATTGCATAATGGGGCCCTGGTGGTGCAGTGATTAAGGGTTTGGCTGCTAACCAAAAAGTGCACGGTTTGAATCCACCAGCCACTCCTTGGAAAGCCTATGGGGCAGTTCTACTCTGTTCTGTGGGGTTGCTATGAGTTGGAATTGACTGGACGGCAATGAGTTTGTTTTTTTCTTTTATTGCATTATTAGCAGTGACTGCTATAAACCTTTCCCCACCCTCTTCTGATCACTCAAACCCATCCCACCTCTTCATGCTGGACAAGTTTCTGTGTCTTTTACTACTTGACTGGGAAAGATTAAGTTCTTTGCAATCTTTCTCTGTATATTTTACCCATTTTTTTTTCTCATAGAAGAAAATAAACCTTAGAGGAGAAAATAAACCTTCTCCTGACTGAAGATATTTTTAGCCCCTCTCATCTTCTTTGGGTCATTGACATCAGTAGATACTGCTTTTTAAAATGCATTTTCTATTTTTAATACATTTTATTCTTCTCATTAAAAAAGAGCGAGAGAAAAATAGAAAAGGAATAGGAAAAAAAATTAGAAAAATCTGCTTATATGCAAACAGTTAAAACTGACCGGCTGCTAACCTAAAGGCTAGAAGTTTGAATCCACCCAGAGGTGTTTTGGAAGAAAGCCTTGGTGATTTGCTTCTGAAAAAAAAAACAGCCACTGAAAACCCTATGGAGCCCAGTTCTACTCTGACACACGAGGTCACCATGAGTTGGAATCGATTCAACAGGAACCACCATCACCACCACCACCAACCACTTCTGTAAACTGAAGGGCTTCATCCTTGCCCTGTCTGCAACGTTTGACTGCACAACCTTCTTTCTTAAAAGTCTCTTCCTTAACTTCTAACACTCTATTCCTTCCCCTCCCCGCTCCTTCTCTTTTCTCTAAACGCTCCTCCTTTTGCCTACCCGCTATATGTGGGAGCATCCTGCAAGGGTCTGCTGTAGATCCTCATAAGAAACAACAAATAAATTGATAAGCCACCTCAATTTAATTTGTGAAAACTGCTATCATGGATTGTAATCAAATTCAAAATGCTCAGGAGCTGATATAGATATTTTTATAGCTTTATTTTATTTCCCAGACGTTCCTTTTCACCCTGCCTACTAACTGATTTTTTACTTCCTTTTCATTTTGTCTTGACCACTTTATAACTCTAACCCCCACACCTAACTAGCTCATGGCCTGTGCACAGTGGCCAACAGTTGCAAGAGTTTTCACATACGTGCTCTTGCTGGGTGATCTGCAAAGGGAGTGTTGTTGAGAGGATTAAAGATGTACGTACACAGACCCCACTGTAAGCAGCAATCACCGGCCACTCTTATTTGTGCTGAGCGCCCCCTAAACCAGCCTTTACTGACCTACCACTAATACTTAGGGCAACTACAAATTATTCTGGTGCTTTATGTCCCTACAAGATATTTGTGAGTCATTTTCAAAACCAGAGTATCCACATGGGTGTGTATTACTTATAGTAGTTGCTGTTGAGTTGATACCAACTCATGGCGATATCACGTGTGTCAGAGTAGAACTGTGCTCTATAGGGTTTTCAATGGCTGATTTTTCAGAAGACGATTGCCGTGCCTTTCTTCTGAGGGGCCTCCAACCTAATGGCTAGCAGCCTAGAGTAACCATTTGCACCATCCAGGGACGCCCAGGAGTTTATAAGTGCCAATGTTGTTGTTGTTGTTAGGTGCCATCAAGTCTATTTTTGACTCATAGTGACCCTATGTGATAGACTAGAGCTGCCCCGCATGGTTTTCTAGGTGGTAATCTTTAAGGAAGCAGATCGTCAGGTCTTTCTCCTACAGAGCCACTGGATGGGTTCAAAACCACCAACCTTTCCATTAGCAGCCGAGCGCTTAACTATTGCACCACCAGGGCTCCTTTGTAATTGCCAGTAAATAACTTGAAATTTCACTTTTCTTGGAAAGCGAGAGAGCACGTGAGGACATTATCAAGAGTGTTTAAATATGTTCCACGCACTGTGCTGTCATTATATGCATTGCTACATACAATTCTCACCATAAGTGAGAGGTCGTATTTCTTTGTAGGTTAAAGACAAACAAAACAACAACAAATATACCAAACCTGTTGCCATCGAGTCACTTCTGACTCATAGCAGCCCTATAGGACAGAGTAGAATTGCCCTGTAGGGTTTCCAAGGAGTGCCTGGTGGATTTGAGCAGCCGACCTTTTGATTAGCAGCTGTAGCTCTTAACCACTTCACCACCAGGGTTTCCACGTGATGCTTAGAAAGGTTAAAGCATTTTCCCATGGTTACAGCTAGTAAGTGTTAGAGTTGTCGATAGCTGTAGTAATGGTTCATGGGACTGGCCACTGAAATCTAAGTTTTGGGTTATTTGTGGCTTTCATCGACCAGGCTAACTCTGGATGAATTGACCCATCATTCATTTGCTCTTTAATTCGACATGCATTTATTGCAGGCTGGATCAATGTTGTGGGGAATTCTCCACAGAGCAGATTGGGAAAAGCTCTCCATGAATGACAAGCTATATAACTTTAGGCAGTGAGCACACCATTGCCACGTGAGAGATTCAGGGAATAAATGTGATAAGAGTACAGCAAAGGGAGAGAGTGCTTCCAGCTGAGAAGGTCACTTCCTGGACAAGGTGGCATTTACAGGGGGCATTATAAAACTTATAGTTAATCATCTCTCTACGTGTTCATTTTGCCTTTCATTTGAGCCAGCTTTCCCCTCTCGCTCACACACCTACACACACAGATTTCATGTCCACCCTCTGTGGTCAGTTTTGACTTTGCAAACCATGGTACTTATTGGTCATTTAGATTTGCATCTATCCTGTTTCCAAAGAAGTCAGGCTTAATGAAGGCTGGCAAATTCTGAGAATCGGACAGCATGAAGCTGTGTTACCTCCTCAGCTGGTAATGAGAACACTGGGCTTCATGCTGGGGCAATGTGTCCTGCCTGACTGTGTCCTTGAATCAATCTGGACTAATTTAACCCCCAAGTGGGCTCTGCACGTGTCCTTTGCAGGAATTTAATCTTGGCTGTGATGTGCTCTTGAGATTGACCATTAGTCTCCTTCTAACAAGACCATTTGGGCAAATTGCACCTGGTAACATGCTTAAGCTTGGAGCACCTGCTCATGTCATTTCTTCTTCCTGTCTTCCTTTATACTAAGCAGGAGGAAGAGGTGAGGGAGAAGGAAAATGGATTCATTTCATGAGAATATTTATAAAATCAGAGACTCAGCAAGGAAACCAGCCCTCCCCTTGCTCTAAGCCAGTTTTCTTTTGTTCAATAATTTAATGTCCTGCCACTTCTGTCAACCACCAATAGAGACTTGGTGACTGTCAGTTGTGGCCAAAATATTGAACCCAGTGTTGTGAAAAATTTAAGAAGTGTAAGGCCTAGTGCTAAAAATGTAGGTACAAAATAATATGTATATCAGAAAAGATCTCAATATGAGGTCATACAGAAGAGCTAAAAAGAGTTATTGACCTCTAGAGAACAGGTCATTTCTGGTTAGGAATAAAAATGAACATAGGGACATACTTCCAATCCCCTGTTCATGTCAATTCTCCTTTCTGTGCTCCTTTATACAAACCAGAAGGAAAAGCGGGAGAGAGAAAGTCATTCACTCCTAGAAATAAGACTTCATGGGTGGTGCAAATGGTTAACGCGCTTGCTGGCTAACCGAAAGGTTACAGTTTCGAGACTACCTAGAGGCACTTCAGAAGAAAGGCCTGGTGATCTACTTCTGAAAAAAATCAGCCCCTGAAAACCCTGTGGAGCATAATTCTTCTCTGGCACACACGGGTTCACCATGAGTCAGAACTGACTGGAAAGCAACTTTTTTTTTTTTTCCCCAATATATTTCTGAAGAATTAGTGTGTTGAGTTTTCAATCTATGATTGAAAAAAAAGTCACATAAGATTATTTCATTCAGTTTATTGTTTGCATTTTTGCCATGTTTAACCTTCAAATAGGGAAAATATAAAACTGTGAAAAATCATACAGTTTAGGACTCACAATCTCCATGTGCTCTACAAGAGAAGCGAGGGAGTTATTCACAATACTTTAGCCTAAAAACATACTGCTGTCTTAAACTCCTTACATACGTAAACTGAGGCTAAATCCGAGTCTGGGACAGCAAAATCAAAAGTAGAATTTGCAATTGTCTTATCAACCTTAGTTGCTAATCCGAATAATTAAAACCCCAAGACAGTGATTTTTTGCAACCAGAAGGAGCAATGCCCCTGGGATATCTGGGCAATTGTATAAACAAGAGCTAAGGAAATTCCAAGTAGAAAAACATCTCCATTGGCCTTAATATTCTAGTAAATGCCTTGTTAGTCTGTTATGATTTAACAATGAAGAATTCACATCCTAATGCAAGAGTTTGAGCAGGAAGAGCCCAACAGAGCACAGTCAGCCATTTTCCCAGACAAGACCAGCTGGACCTGACATAATCTTGCTGTGAGAGAAACATTGGCATTTACAATGAAATAGCTGCGGGGTTTCTGCATATATAAACGTTACAATAAAGATAGCCTAAGGGGAAATTATATGTTGCCTATTTCCTTCTCCTTTTGAGTCAACATCTAATAGCGCATTTGTGTACAACATTCCTATTTGCAATATATTCCACTTTTCTTCTCAGAAAGAGTAAATCTTTTAAACCATATTTTCCTGTCCTAATTAGGTAGGTACAAATTCACCCAGATTTTTTTCAAGGGTAGATTTGCCATAATCACATTCACAGCATGAGGCAGCAGCACTACACATACCATCTTCCACTGGCCTTAATGAGATGGCCTTGAGATGTGGACGAGGAATCAAACCTCCTTTGCTCATTCAGTCGGGTGTTTAGAGTGCAGCATGGGTGAGACAGAGAACATGAGTTCAATACCTGTGATGGGCTCACCGGATTTCGTTAAGTTACATTTGTAGAAAAACCACAATCAGAGCCACTCTGATGAGAAATGAGAGAATATCAAGACACATGTTTCATGCCAGTATACTCTACTTCTAAAGGGACAGGCTTAAAGCAAATTGTTCAAAAAGAGACAAAGATATGCAATATAGACATATGAAAGCAAACCCAGCTCATCAAACCCAATTGTTTGAAGGAACACAACTCCAAGTCCTTTGGCCGAGGATGAGTCATCAGTTATATCATTTCCATCTAAGAAAAACAGCACCAGGTCATTGTTGGTATATGTGCTTAACTTCCTACTTACGGCCTTCACCTTATTCTTTCTTAATTCCTGATTTAGACCCTTGCTGGACGAGGCCCTGCAGTGGCGTGATTCCCTGGACAAGCTCCTACAGAACAACTGTGAGTTCACACTGCCTTTTATAGGGAGGTAGGGGTTGCCATACCTCCCTATACATCCTAAGGAGCCCTGGTGTTGCAACAATTAAGTGCTCGGCTGTGTACTGAAAGGTTGGCAGTTCAAATTCACCAAGCCACTCCATGGGAGAAAGACCTGGCAATCTGGGCCTGTAAAGATTACAGCCTTGAAAACCGAATGGGGCAGTTCTACTCTGTCACAGGAGATCGCTATGAGTCAAAAATTGACTCAATGGCACCCAACAACAGCAGGGGTGCCATGAATTGAAATCAACAATCAACTCAATTGCAGTGGGTAGGGGAGGAACAGAGACAAAAAAAAAAAAAACACCCTTTGTTGCCCAAGTGTCGTTCATCTCCAACTTTAACATTGTTCCAAATTTTCAAAATCTTCCAAACAAAGCCTGGTTAGCTCGGGGTGTCAAGAGAGTGTGAGTATCCAATTCACAAGAAGAGGAAGGTCCACTGCACTGTGGGGGAATGTGAAAATAAGGTGTCCTAATGACCTGTGATTGCAGGTTGTATTCTCATCTATCCTGCTTACTTACTTACTTACTTACTTACTGAGCCGGAGCAAGTAGCTTGATGTATGTGCGTCTTCATATTCTCATTAGTAAAATAGGCATACTGCTTTTCCAGCTTAGCCTCAGAGTGAATTGATAGCAATTGGGTATGGTAATGTAAAGAGCAGCTGAGTCTGAGTTATAGTCCTAGTTCAAACTGCTATTATTGTTCTTGTGATCTGACATGGACTGCTATGGACCCCCTGCCTTGATTTCCTCTTCTGGCAGCGTGCCTTTTACATCTTCATTCATGATAGGACTAATGTGCTGCTGACCAGCACAGAACTCCTCTCAAGCTAATACCAAGACACCAGTGAGCACGACTTGCCTTTCTCCTAATCCAAAATCCTTCATGATTTCCAAGGACCTATAGAATAAAGTTCAGATTTCTAATGTTCAAGATTCTCCAGTGAAAGCTGTAAACTACTGATCTGCAGCCAAATTGAATAGTTCTCTGTTCTATATAGGATTTCTATATGTCAATCCCTTTGCCTTGAATACCTTGTGCTCATACATATCTATCTGTTGAAATTCTCCCTCTCTTATGAAAGCTAATCTAAATGCTAAATGTTTAGAGTTCCTTGACTATTCAGAATGATTTATCCTCCCTCTGAATTTCCAACCATCTATCTACACATCTTTTATGCCACTTAATCCTTTCTACCTTGTATTCTGTTCTCAAAGTCATTTCCCTTCTACTATAGGTTTTTAAACTCTTTGACAGAGGGGACTTTAATCTTTTTCATCTGGATAATCCCTCAAAAGGATGTGCATAGTATGGGGAAAACAAGTATTCATTGAATAATTCACTCTAAAGTATCATTCAACTTAAAATATCCAACCCATATTTATCCTTATTAACTACAAGAATGGAATATGAAACTTTGTTAGATGTTTGGCAGAAGTAAGTGTTTAAAAATACTTATCACAGGACCACTGTAATTAATGGGCACAGAGTAGAAAAGAAAGAGTGTATGTTGAATTGCATATCAACACTTATTGCATTTTGTTTTTGTGTGATATATTTGGTAAGTTTCTGCTTGCATGCGATAGAATCATCTCTTCTTACATTTTCGACAGAACACCAGAACCTCTGATTCAGAACGTTCTCATTTTTTATTACCTTCTCATTTTTTGTGCTTGTTTAATCTATCTGAGTACCCTGCCCTGACACATACCAGGTCTTCAATAAATGTTTACCAATGAATGAGTGAAAGAATTAATTCATTTTGCTTCTTGGACCCAGAAATTTCAAGAGGTCAATTTTTTTTTTTTTTTTAAATCATCTGACTTATTTATTCTTACTCACCGGTTTTGGGACAATAGCAGTCTGAGAGATGACCCTGATAAATTATGAATGCTAAAGATCCTGTTGTTGTTAGATGCTGTGGAGTCAGTTCTGACTCATAGCATCACCCTATGTACAGCAGAAGGATATACTGCCTGGTCCTACGCCTTCTTCACAATCATTGTTATGCTTGAGCCCATTGTTGCGGCCACCGTGTCAATCCATCTCTGTGAAGGTCTTCCTCTTTTCTGCTGACCCTCTACAAGGATCCTGAAAAAAACCAAACCGGTTGCTGTGAAGGTGATCCCGACTCATAGTGACCCTGTAGTCGGACAGAGTAAAAAACCCTGCCGGGTAGCGTTTCCAAGGAGCGGCTGGTGGATTCAAACTGGTGACCTTTCATTTAGCAGCAGAGCTCTTAATCACTTCACCACCAGGGCTCCTACACAGAGGTATTTATGACTATTGTCAAGAAACCTGAGTGTTACCAGATCTACTTCCATGTTTCCAAACCATTAAGGAGGAGGATAAATATTTATTTGACCATATACAGTCCTTTTCAGTCACACTAATCCTTACAGCAACACGTTCATATTTTTCAGGCTTTTATGGATAAGAGTTGTTGGGATAAGAAACCTAGAGGTATGAACCAAAGGCAGCTAGTATTAAAACCTTAGCATTTGCTTAGGGACTGAAGTCTTTCAGTTTGAAAACAGATGATCACCATAGTATAAACTTGAGGCCTGAGGTTCTTATGGTAATATTTTCTATTTTTTAGAGGAGAAAAATATATATGTATGAGTGAATATATGCATATGTATATAATCTTAAGTTAAATTCTACATAATTATCCTCTTAAGTAATTAAAATTCTCAAGACTTGGGCAATTAATTTCTCCAAAGCAATAAATGGAAAACATTTCATAACTATTCTAGTCACAATTCTTTCCTTGAAGGGGGCATCTATCCATTCAAACCAGGGCAAATGTAAAAGAAAGTTTATGGTAAAGATATTGAAATCCACAGAAACAAAAGAGCCGTGCATTATGGGAGGTGAAGCTGGCTCTCAGAAGCCACCAGTGAGGTAGCTTCTCCCTCTCTGTCTCTATTTCTCTGTTCTTGCCTGTCTCTGTCTCTCTCTTCCTCTTTGTATTTCTATCTCCATCTCTCTGTCTGTGCTTCTCTTTGGCTTTCCTTCCTACTCTGCGTCTCTTTCTTGCCACTTTGACTCTGCTGTCTTTGTTTCTATGTCTATCTATTCTTAGAGAAGAGCACATGGAATGACGGGCAAGCCCAAATAATTATACCCCATCACCACTGACCTGAAGAAATACTATTTGACCTGTTCCTCCAAATACCAGCTACTATGCATCATGAATGACTTTCAAAAACCCTATGGAGCCCTCGTGGCACAGTGGTTAAGAGCTCGACTGATAACCAAAAGGTCCAAAGTTCGAATCCACCAGCTGCTCCTTGGAAACACTATGGGGCAGTTCCACTTCATCCTATAGGGTCGCTATGAGTTGGAATCAACTCAACAGCAATGGGTTTTGATGGAGCACAGTTCTTCTCTGAAACACATGAGTTGCCATGAGTTGAAATAGACAGCAACTTCTTTTTTGTACCCTAGTTAAGTTGACATGTAAAATCACATATGTTTTGCCTTCAGTTCTGTAGTTGGCACAAACTCTTTTCAAATGGTAGGTCCATGGGGCATATAACCAGCCTTTTTTCTTTAAACACAAAAATAGATTGCACACGGGAGTTTAAGTAAGAGAGTGATGGAAAAAAACTACCTCCCACCCTGCACCACGATGGTCTTTAAAAGCAAAGGAAAAGTGAGACACAGTCCAGCACCAGCAAAAGTTCCTTTTGGATCTCCTTTTGCCAGGAGACCCAAAAGATCAGAACATTTTCTTGAGATACCCTTGAGATTTGGTCTCTGCCTTGACGAGCTAAGTAGACTAGCTATGGGCTTCCCTCTTTGTTTCTATCTTTTCATTCTCCTTTGCTTCTTTCTCTTTGGTTTCCCATTTTCTTCCTTCACTTTACTGGTTCATCTTTATGATTATCTTACCCACTGGCAAACCCAATTTTCTTTAAAACAATGATTATAATAATAACTGGTTGTTGTTGCTAAGTGCCATCAAGTTAGCTACCATGCATAGTGATCCCACGTATAACAGAACGAAACCTTACCTGGACCTATGCCATCCTTGGAATCGTTAATATGTTTGAGCTCCTTGTTGCAGCCACTATGTCAATCCACCCCATTGAGGGTCTGCCTTTTTTTGCTGACTCTGTACTTTACCAAGCATGATTTCCTTCTCTAGCAATTGGTCCTTCCTGATAACCTGTCCAAAGTAAGCAGAACAAAATCTTGCCATCCACACTTCTAAGGAGCATTATGGCTATACTACCTCCAAGACAGATGTATTCATTCTTCTGGTGGTCCATGGTATATTCAATATTCTTCACAACACCACAATTTGAATAAAGCAACTCTTTTTCAGTCTTGCTTTTTCATTGTCCAGCTCTCATAACAGTGGTTGCTGTTGTTCGGTGCCGTCGAATCGGTTCCGACTCATAGCGACCCGATTTATAACAGAACAAAATGCTGCACGGTCCTGTGCCATCCTCATAATAGTTGTTATGCTTGAGCCCATTGTTACAGCCACGGTATCAATCCATCTCACTGAGGGTCTTCTTTATCACTGACCCTCTACCAAGCATGACGTCCTTCTCTTGGGACTGATCCCTCCTGATAACATGTCCAAAGTATCTGAGACATAGTCTTGCCATGCTTGCTTCTAAGGAGCATTCTGGTTGTACTTCTTCAAAGACAGATTTGTTCGTTCTTCTGGTAGTCCATGGTATGTTCAATATTCTTCGCCAACACCACAATTGAAAGGCATCAATTCTTCGATCTTCCTTTTTCATTGTCCAGCTTTTACATGCATATGAGGCGATTGAAAACACAGTGGCTTGGGTCAGGCACACCTTAGTCTTTTACAGCAGATTTGCCCAATGCAGTGAGTTGTTAGATTGCTTCACTGCTGCTTCCATGTGTGTTGATTGTGGATCAGAGTAAAATGAAATCCTTGACAAATTTAAACTTTTCACCATTTATCAAGA